CAGGTGAGGCGGTGGGCGCTGCTCGGCCCGGACTTGTCCCTGGAAGGAGGAAGGGGGAGGGGTGTGCGGAGCCTTACCGAAATCTGCCGAGGGAAGTCTTCCGAGGTGTGCTTTGTATAACTTACGACCCTGCAGCTCAGAATCCCCCCTTGCCTGGAGTTCAGATGGGTGACAACGGGGCCAGGTGACGCCCTGCGTTGCAGAGGAGCACGGGAAGCCCTGGTGCAGTCCGCCGAGCTCTCGCAGTTTACGCACTTGGGATCCTCAGCGGTCTCCGACCTCCTCTTTGGCTTTTAACCCTGGAAATTCTCAACCTTCTGAGGAACGTGAAGATTTAGAGAGGAAGACACCAGCCTCCCTGTTTCATGGTCTTGACAACTGGTGTTTTGTTTTAAATCAACCAAGTACATTCTTTAGGGAACTATAAAGGTAGTTTTTTAAAGACTTATTTAGAACTTGTTTTAGCTTAGTAGATATTTACTGGGTGTCTTTTCTCCAGCTTGGGGTTAGTCAGTATAAACCCTTGTCTGGGTCTGGCTTGAATGTCATACAGAAAATAGCTATTACCTTTCATGCATATATTGCAGACATTTTCTGCTATTTCATCTTGAAGATAGGTATTATTTTCCCCATGAGCTTTCTTGGACAAGCTGGGGGTTACTCGCCTGCGGTCCTATTGTTGACAAATGGCAGAGCTAGGGTTTCAAATCCTGCTCAGTGCCACGCTCCACGCAGATGAGGGCTACTTGCTTTGTGAATCTTGCATCGCATGTAGCTCTCGCGCTGCTCAAAACCACCTACACCTGAAGAAATCTTGAAGGTGCTGCTTAGCACTGTGTGCTCCATTCTGCAGCCGGAGAAACTAGACTCCTGCGTCACAGGACCTGGAGGGATTCCGCCCTGGATTGTATTTGGCAACTGAAAGCCCCAGTATTGCTTCATCTTCTTGACACTGCCCAGTGTATTTTTGGCCTTTTTGTACTCACTTTGTGGCCTTTGGCAATTTTCTTGAACTCTTGTTCTTCTATTTCCAAATTTTTAAATTTGGAAAACTGTTCTAATCTTATAGAGTAAAACATACAAAGATCTCCACTCTACGCTAATAATCAGAGAGGTTCAGGTAAAAAAAAAAAAAAAAAAAGAAAAAGAAAAAGAAAAAGTAAAAGAATATTGGGTGTTCCGAGGCAGAGGAGGTTATTTCGTGAAGAGGGAGCACAGAGCTTTTATGGTGCTCTGTCCTCCCAGCTGGGTGTGGACATGCACACAGAATTCCTATGGTGACAGTAGGGAAAGGGAACAGAGGAGGAGGCAGTGGAGAGGAACAGGGGGATGAGCCCCTTTGTGCCCCAGGGCCAGGCACCTGGCTCATACATCTCAGATGAGTGGTAAATGTTTGATAAGGATGCTGCTTCTATTCCATGAGTACTCCAGACCCTGCATATCTTCTGGTCAGGCATCAGTCCTGACCCCAATTCAAATCTGATTGACATAGAGGTCATCAGAACTTTGGGGCATTAGTGGCCTCCTGTTACTCAGTTAGGGGGCCACGGTTAAAGGTACACACATTCTCTTAGGAATTTCTGCTCGAGGGGGAGCTAACATCCCTGGGATTTACTGGCTGCTCTTAAAGATGTAATTATGCCTCTGGCCTCAGATAGCTTTGGTGTTCGGAAGGCCCGAGGCTCAGCTTTGAGCCCTTAGTGATGGGAACTGAGAAGGGTTTTAGTGTGTGGAAGTGAGACATAACCTTTCTGCCTTCCTTGTTCTCCATTTCAGCTGAGCAGAGTAAAGGCTGAGCAGTCAGGGCAAAGGAAAGGTGGGTGAATAATGTCAACAAAGATGCTTTCCTTCCCCCAGAGCCATCTGACACTGTAGAGGAGCCGGAAGGCAAGGTGGTCCCCGCAAACTCAAGGTGAGGTGGAGAGGGCTGGGAGAGCCGCTCTGGCGGGTGCCTGGTGGTGGTGGTGGGGGTGCCAGAGAGGGGCACAAAGCCTGGACCTGGTGGTGGGGGGTGCCAGAGAGGGGCACAAAGCCTGGACCTGGTGGTGGGGGGTGCCAGAGAGGGGCACAAAGCCTGGGCCGCTGCTGGGGGGTGGCGAGGGGAGGAGAGGCTGAGGGAAGTCTGGGTTCTGATCACTGAAGGCTCAGAAGAAGCAGTACTGTCTCCCAGCCTCCAGAATTCTTTTTTTAAAAATTGTATTTTAAAGAGAAAAGAGTAAAACAAAATGGCAAAACAGGATAATAGGACATTGGTGAAGACATTGTGTATTGTTATCTTTAAATTTACTTATTCAGAGCACAAAACAGAGGTATTTAACTATCCAAATATTAGTACAAAACTTTCTTTTCAATGAACTAAGAGAAATAAACAATTGTCTTAATAGTAATACAACTATTATATATATATATATATATATATATATATATATATATATATACTTTTTTTTCCTTTTTCTTTTCTTTTTTTCTCCTTTCACCCATCCCATTTTCTCTTTCTTCTTGAGCAGTTTCTTTTCCTTGCACAATCTCTATTGTGCATTTTGGATCTTATTTACTATTTCAGTTTCTCACACTAGGGAGAAAATGTGATGTTCATGCCCGTGAGTCTGGTTTATTTCAGCTATGAGTCTGGCCTCAAGTTGCAACCATTCACCGATGAAAGTCTGCAGTTTATCCTTCTATATGACTGTGTGGTACTCCATTGTATAAAAACATCACATCTTTTTTATCCACTCCTCAGTTGATGGGCATTTGGGTTGTTTCTAAGATTTTTATTTTATTATTATTTTTTTTTTTGTGGAACCAGGGATTGAACTCAGACACTTATGCTTGCCAGGGAAGCACTTATTCTACTGAGCCATATCCCCGGCCCCAAAATGGCAGAAGGATTTTTTTTTTCTCCGAATGCCTTCAGGGCAGGTTTGGCTGGCTGGAGTTGTGGGGATCGAACCACAGCAGCCTGAGCCTGACTGCTTTGTTGAAGCAGCCAATTAAAGAACTGAGCTAAGGGCAGGCCCCCATTTCTAAGATTTAGCTGTTATAAATTGTGCTGCTATAAACGTGGGTACACATACATCACTGTGGTGGGAGGCCTTAATTCTTCTGGGAAGACACGCAGAAGGGAATAGCTGGGCCAAATGGAACCTCTAATTCTAGTTTTTTTAAGGAATCTCTACACTGATTTCCACAGTGGTTACACCAGTTGGCACTCCCACTAGCAGTGGAGAAGGGTCCTTTTTCCCTGTCAGCATTTGCTATTGGTTGATTTCTTGCTGATAACCATTCTTTCTGGGGTGAGATGGAATCTCAGTGTTGCATTTCTCAATTGACCAATAGTGTTGAACATTTTTTCATGTATTTATTTTCCATTTGTATTCTTCATCTGAAAGTCCCAGCTTCTAGAATGGTCAAATGTGATCCGTTTCAGCACCAGCAATAGGGTTTTTTTTTTTTTTTTTCTGCTATGGGTTTCTCCTTAGCATAGAACAGACAAAGAGATTCTCCAAAATGTATGTAGAGTGGTGATGTCAAACTTTTAGAGTCTGAACACCCAACCTCTTGCTGAGCTCCAGGATTGCATTTAACCTGATTGCTCATGTCTTCCTTTTGTAAAAACAACTGTTAGCAGTGCTTGGCTGTGGGGGCAACTTGGCTCACATGCCACTTCAGCGCATGGATCATAGGCTCGCCACCCCTGGTGTAGAAGACGAGGTCAATTCAGGAGAGGGGTGAATTATGATCCCATTGTAACAGCTTTGTGCGGTGGAAGAAGTTTAGGCCCGAGAACCAGACAAACACCAATCCAAAGCCTAAATCTGCCATTTAGTAGGCGTTTGACCATGGACTCGTCTCTTGGCCACTGTCAATATATTTTCTTTCTTTCTCTTTTCCTTTTTTGGGACAGAGTCTTACTATGCAGTGCAGAACTCACTATGTAGCCCAGCCTGGCCTTGAATTTATGGTGATCCTCCTGCCTCAGCTTTCCAACTGCTGGGATTACAGCTGTGCACCACCATACCTACTGTATTTTCTTAACTACAGAAAAGAACAAGGCCGGGGATATAGCTCAGTGGCACAAATGCCTGCCTGGCAAGCATAAGGTTCTGAGTTCGATCCCCAGTACTGCAAAAATAAATAAATAAATAAACGAACAAACAATAATTATACCCAAAAGGCTATGGTGCCAGTTAATGACAATGTATATAGAGTACCTCTTACAGATAAAGAATTGTTCTCCATATTTCAGTTTTGATTTTTCTGTGTTTTCCGTGACCAATGAAAATGTACACTTTTATGTCCTTCCAGTAAGTCGCTGACTGTGGGGCTGTGTTGCCATAGACTTCTGGGCTGTGATGGTTTGCTTCTAGACATTTCAAGATCCTCCAATTGGTGTCTCTCTCCCAGAGATAGTTGTTATATGGTGGGGGAGGGAGAGCTGTGGTTTTTTTCTCCAAATCTTTAGAGAAGACTGTTCAATTTAGTCTCCACTGGGCTGAAATCAGTGGATTTTCTGGTAGAACAGCTACTGAATGGAGACCGCAAGGCTGAGACACGCAGGGGGAAACAGGGACATTTCCAACAGTAGAGTGACCGTTGCTCTCTTAAGGTGCGCAGTACTTCCCCACTTCCGGTTGTTTCGCTAGATGCTGGCCTCACCCTCTTCTCCTAGGAGGACTTGTGATGCTCTGTCTTACGCTGAGGCCATGCCGGCTGGCAAGTGAAGCACCTCAGTGCTCCCTTGGCCTTCCTCAATGTGAGTCTAACGGTATAACTTCCACAAGTCACATTTATGTTGATCTCTGTATTCCTGATATGGGTCTTTTCTATAAATCAGAACAGGATTTGCTGGCTAGAAAAAAAATGGTGTGCGATTAAATGAAATAAGGTATTGGAATCACTTAGCATTTCTCAGGAAGAAAATTGGCCATTTCCGAGTGGCATTATAATAATGTCATTATTACATGGATAAACACAGTGCTGAAGGTACCATGGGGCAGGTGTAGCCAACGTGCTGCGCTCATTTAAGCCAGCCCTATAATGCGTGGCTTAGGTGGTAATCACTGAACTATAGAAGGAATTATTTTTTTTGCTTTCTCCTTTCCAGGTCAGAAACCATTATTCTACTCCATATCAAGTTCCTGCAGTGATTTTCACTTATACTTTAACCTTTGTGAACTGGGTGTGCTGAGTGTATTTTGGGGCCTGTACTTTTAGACTAAGTGAATTTCAACAGAATGACTCAATACTTGTCAATATTTTCTTAGCCAGGAGTCAGGAGCTGACAAGTGTGAGGCCACAGTAGCTGTGTAGTGCAGTTTCCAAAGGAATTTTCCTAATAGGCTTAGCAGCAAGATCTTTCTTTTATTCATGGGCTTATTTGTGTGGGGCCCTATCGGCGAGGAATCGGTGTGCCAAGTGCCTAGCCCGCAGTTACACATCGGCAGTGGCTGTGGTCTCTGTGAACTCACTTTTGTTTGACCTGTTGCACAAGGAAGCGGAGAGGAGTGGATGAGCAGAGAACATGGCTCCATGTAGGATGGCAAGGGGAGGGCTCCAACACTCATGATTCTAGTTTTGCTTATGGACTTTGAGCCGGACAGTGCAGTTAGATCAGGGTTTTGTAAAGTGTAGTAGAAGACTTACTTCATTTTCATTTCTGAGTTTTATGTCTAGTCATCCCAGATTGATACCCTTTATAAAACATAAAAATGAAAAGCAGGAAATAACATTGTACAACAGACCACAGAACACGTGCTGCAGTGTAACTGGTTCTCAACTCAAGCTCCTGATTCCTGTACTTGTGAATTGGGGATGGACGGTCATGGATGGGTACTGGTCCACAGGCCACACTGGGATGGCACGTAGTGTCTCCCTCACTGAGGTGATTGTTGAACACAGGCACTGTAAGCCCCAGGGATGGCTGAGTTCAGTGTGTGTGTGTGGGGGGGGGTACAGATAAAGACATGAGAAGCTTTTCCCACATGGGCCAGGACTCTGCCCACACCCATGGAATAGTGTTCTGACTGTAGAGTAGGCCTGTTCGGGGCTAGGAAGCTCCTTGCTTGTTACCTGGGGAGAAATCCTCCATGAAATCAGTTTTGGAGCTCTGAGTACCGCTCAGGGTCCAGCAGCCTCTCTGCAGACCAGGGCCTCAGCTGCTGCCTCTGCTCATGGAAGGTTTTCGGACTAAAGGATACTGCAAATGGACTGGCTCTTTTCATTTTCTACTCTGTTCTCCTTCTTCAAGACCACCTCTTTGAAGACTGCACCCTCAGTTAGCTTATATTGTCTTGGCTGTAGATGGGCCAGCCAGGCCTCTGAAAAAAGGTTAGCTATGCTAATGTGTTCCAGGCTTCCCAATTCTTTCTGCTTCTGGTGTCTCCTCCTATACCCTTCCCTACCCATGTTCTTTAATTGCCTGGTAGTGTCCTCCTTTCTCCCTGAAAGTATTTAGCAAGAATTTACCCTAAAGAACACTCAACTATTAAAATAATTTGAGCCTATATGGGTGGAAATGGTACTCTTCCTTTTTCTTAATGGCCACCTTACTGAATTATGAGTCCACATGTGTTTGTGACATCCCATATGCAGTCCAAATAGTCCTTACAGCCTGGTATATAGATAGCACAGATGAGTCATTACAACAAGGGGGTGTCTGGGGTTTGCTGGTGCCTGAATCCCTTACTGTGCAGACTTTTCTGGGAAGAACTCCCAAGATTTTAGAATTATCTTGTTTTTTTTTTTTTTTTTAGAATTATCTTGTTTTAATCATCCTAATAAAGACCAGAATCTTTGATCAGAATAGGAAAATTCATAGGCAGAAAGATGGCAGGGAGCATATCAGTGACGATTTACACTAAGAATAAAACACTAGATGTCATAGTGTAACAGATGTCACCAGTCAGAGGCCTT